CAACAATCATCTGTGAAAGTATACAAAGTCACTAGCTCTATATGAAAATTTTGATATCAGAAAGTCTCCTCACCTTAACCTATTACCTTAGGTGATTTTATTTCAACATTGGCATTGTTCTGAAGACTAGACTGTCTAAACTCATAAAGTGAATGTGAAAGATATTTCCAGTCAAGATTGGCTGACACAATTCATTTTACAATCTGTCAACTTGACTCATCAGTTCATAAAGGATACCACTTAGTAGTATCACACTGGTCTTTATGGGGAAAAAAGGACCGTAGTGAAGGCAAATTTTATTGTTATATAAGACAATCATCAAGTTGCTTTGCAATATCAGTATAATTAAATGTTGTTAATGAGATAAAGGTTGTTTGAAATGCATATAAAACATGTCTGGAAATTTCCTCATGGAAATATTGGTTATATGCTATTGCATATAAACATTTGGAATACATTATGTAAACAGATACACACACACACAGAGGAGTATAACGCTAACCAGTTTATTCAGCATACATTTCTGAAGTTACCTAATTTTCAATAAGGAGACTTAGAAAACAAAATATTTCAGACTAATTTCTAAAAAAATATTTATTTTAAGCAGTTTCTTCTAAAATGTTCAGGTGATCGTCCATTAACTTAGTTCATTCAACAATTATACTCCTGTGAAAGTTACATAAAGTAAAATGCCAGCCATTTTTATAATGAATTTGTGTTTATCTAAGTAAGTTTAAGAAATCTGTATTAAAAATCACCCTATTTAAGCATTTTAGTTTTAAATGAAGATAGAATTATCAATAATACTATCTCCATAGTTTCTTTAAGGAAATTAGTCCAAATCTACCCATCTTTCTTGCTACAACCTATCTTTGTTGACTAAACATAGGAGCTAGAACCCCTGTACTATATAATTTCAAGAGGCATCATTTACACTGCAGTCTATGTCAATGGCACTCCTGGGGGTTTTACAGTTCACAACCTGCACAACCAAACGTGGCAGTTCTGGAAAGAATCACTGCTGCTGAATGACATCTCAGGACTTTTCCTAAATATGCTTATTCAAATGTCCATGAGGACTAAAATATGGAACTTATAATTTTTATTATAATAAAACTAAAAAATATAAAACCAATTATACAGTTTGTGTTAATTGTATCTTAGGATTCTGTTAAAACCATGAAAATAACCATCATGGGTTCTTGGGGTCTGGGGAGCAGACAATAGATAGGGCAGTGAGGTATTGTCTAATGGACCAAGTGTCTTCCTCTCAGGGGAGATGAAATCAATAGAAATATTCAAAACATACCGTCTTTACAATGGTCTAACATATAATCCTTTGATAATATTGCCTGAGGCCATACTGGAGCTGTACAATAAAAAAAAAGCAGTGATTCTGCTCTGGTTATTGTCAGAGTATGTGGTTCTCAAACTCCACATTTCAACTAAATTTCCAAGTGATACTGATGCTGTCCATCAGGAGGCCACCATTTGAGAATAATGGCACTAGTGGAGATCCTATAACCAATGAGAGTTCATGGAAACTAAAATTTCCAGAACAACACTCATGTTAATGTATGTTAAGATGAAAAGACAGGATACAAGTTTTATGCATAATATGTTCCAAACTTGTAATACATCAAATATTGGTGATGGAATAAAGACAGTTTGAAATGCCTAAAGTTGTCAACTGTGGTTGTTTTATGATATTAAGATGAGACAAGTCTTAGAGAGATGCTCATGTCTGTTATCTCAGCACTTTGGGAAGCCATGGCAGGAGGATAGCTTGAAATCAGGAGTTTGAAAACAGCCTTGGCAACATAGCAAAACACCATCTCCACACACACACATGCATGCACGCACACACACACACACACACACACACACACACAATTAGCTGGGCATGGTATTGTATACCTATAGTCCCAGCTGCTCAGGAGGCTGAATCAGGAGGATGGCTTGAGCCCAGGAGTTCTAAGCTGCAGTGAGCCATGATCATGCCACTGTACTCCAGCATAGTGAGATGCCATCTCTAAAAAAAATTAATCATGGAAAATTATTTTATATTTTCCACTCCATCTTCCAAAGTTTAATGTATTTTAATCAAGGGGTAAAAAAGAAATGCAGCTTTGTAAAAGATGAAGAAATCAAATGAGTAATTTTGCATTGTGGGGAATATTGGAAGAGAGGAGAGAAAAGGAGATATTAGGTCTGAGGGAAGGTTAGGAGAACGCTGGAACTAGTGACAATTTGTACAGTAAAGAGAGGATGCAGCCATGCATCCCTGAGGCAAATAGCAAGCCACAGAGAGAAACATGAATATGCATGTATATTAGTTAAAAGTGAAGGCACTAGGCTGCTGGAATTCAGTAACATGTTTGCCCTTTACATTCCTTTGAGTTTTAAACTACAGGGGTCTTCCTGGGTGATATGGTTCAGATCTGTGTCCCCGCCCAAATCTCATGTGGAAATGTAATCCCCAGTGCTGGAAGTGGGGCCCGGTGGGTGAGAGGTTATTTGATCTTGGGGGCAGTTTCTCATGAATGGTTTAGCACCATCCCCCGTGGTATGTCCTCAAAATGCTGAGTGAGTTCTCAGGAGATCTGGTTGTTTAAAAGTGTGCATCACCCCCACCCACTGTGCTCCTGCTCCCACCATGTGAGACATCTCACACTCCCTCTGTCTCCCACTGTGATTGAGAGCTCCCTGAGGCCTCCCTAGAAGCAGACACTACCATGCTTCCTGTACAGCTTACAGAACTGTGAGCCAATTAAACCTCATTTCTTATAAATTACCCAGTCTCAGGTATTTCTTTACAGCAATGTGGTAACAGACTAATACAGTGAGATTATGACAGAATGGTTAAAAGTCATTGTGTATTTTCTGTTAGCATCGTAACACTTCCTACTGCCAGAAAATCTTCCAAAATCATAGATCTATCCGTGCTATATTCCTACTAAAAGGCCTCCGGTGATTTTTATTCTTCACCAAACAACTCCAAACCTTTTAGCCAACTGCAAGCAGATTCTGTCCTGTCTAACTTTTTTCCCGATGCATCAGCCAATTTGGTTTACTTCTTATTACTTAAGGGCGCTTGGAGGTCTTCTAGCTCATTGCTTTTGCCCTTGTTATTATTTTGCCATCATATAGATTGTTCTCTCTCTTCTCAGTCTGTAAATCCTATCCATTTCCAAGTATGTAATGAAATATTTATCCATTTATGACAATTCAACCAGCAGTGATCTCTAGCACAGTGTCTGACAATTAGGGTGCTTCATGTAAATACATGAATTTTTTTTCCCTCCAAATTACACATGGAACTGAGCCAGGAGAACACTGTCTGACTTCTTAAAACTAAATGGAAAGGGCACTTTAACTTTCCACACCTAAGTAACCAGAGGACCAGAGACTAGTCCCTTTACAAACCCCCACCTTTTCTGCCCAGCAGATGGGAAATTGAAAGTACTTTTTGCAACCAATCAGATATTTGTATAGGAATGTAACTTCACTTCAGCCTCTGATTGGTTGCAGATAGCAACCAATCAGACTGATTGGGGTCCAAGTCTTCATTTGCATAGAAGTGCAAGTTTGTAACTTCACTTTAGCTTCTGATTGGTTGCAAAAAGCAATCAATCAGATGTCTGCATAGGCATGTGGCCTTTGCAACTTCAGTCTCTAATTAGTTGCTTTCCACAACCAATCAAAATGATTGTGGGCAACCACTTCATTTACATGAGGTGATCACCAATGGCTAATGGAAAGCCTGTAGGAGGTATTTGGAGGAAGAAGATTCTGTATCCTGACCCTTAAGGGGCTGGCTGCTGGGGCCCACTCCCACACTGTGGAGTGTACTTTCATTTTCAGTAAATCTCTGCTTTTGTTGCTTCATTCTTTCCTTGCTTTGTTTGTGTGTTTTGTCCAACTCTTTGTTCAAAACGCCAAGAACCCTTCACCAGTAACAGAATATTTTGTAAAAACTGTTTATCCAGGCATTCACTACTTTGAGAAATCTTAAGATTGCTTATTTTTTATAAGATGGATTTAGCACCATTAAGAGTTTCTTGATCCTTATACTTACTTTGATCACAAGATAATTATTGTACATTGGAATGTTCTTTAATTCATCCCCCTCAAGATGTCAAAGCAAGAGGAATTGATATTTCCCTGTTTACTCTGAGAGACCCTGGGGAAAATGGTTTGAAGTGGCAGACTCCTTTAATATTTCCACAATTTTCTAAAACAACTCCTACTTACATGTTTATAAAGTTGTAAACATTATATATTTTATTATAACAAATGTTTTAAAGCAGCATGTATCATAGGCATCTGCTGAATTATACAACTAAACTATGAGTTCTTGAGATGTGGGGACAGGAGCACAGGAGGAACAGTAAGAAGGGCCCAATGGACCACATTCCTTTCAAAGAAATTGAAATCAACAGATCTATGAGAATCACCTTCCTTACAGCTCCCTGGAGCCATCCTTGCTCAAAAACCCCAAACTGAGAAATGCTGAAACTCAAAATATTTAAGCAGCCTTCTTCATGGATGGACTGGGGCACTCCAAAAAGGAAATTCTCAGCACTCTGGTAGGATGTCCTTCTGCTAGTGGTTGAGTTCATTCAGTGCCCCTTAAATTAAGAAAGATTTTTCGCCACTTTGCAGGGCCTTCACATCATGTTAAGGTGAAGAAAAATATCACTATTTGTTCTAACAGGTCAACTAGCATTTATCATGAGTGATAGCAACAAGATCCTGTGCTCACATTTCTTATTATAATCATGTGTGTGTGTGTGTGTGTGTGCGTGTGGTGTGGCGGGGAAGTAGGTAACAAAAACCAAAAAAGCCCTCTTTCCCACAGTGTCCTCACTCTGCCAGTCCCTAGCTGTATGACTTCACTCTCTGGCCTGTATTTCTAAAATTAATTAGTTACCATGAGCAGTGGTTCTCAAAGCTGGCTGATGGCTACAGATATTTAAGAATTAAGAGAATCACTGGTCCCTCATAAACTGAAAAATTTACTTTCTTTTGTTTCTATTATTTCCTTCTCCTACCAGTAATGAAAAATGTATTACACAAGACAATAGTTGTGGATAAATAGCCATTGATCTTTCACAGTGTTTTCTTCTTTAGGGAAATACAAAAAGGATGCTATAGGGAAAAAAATCTTCATTTTGATTTTTTCCATCATCAGTGCTAGTTACATCACTTCCTTAAGTTAGAGAAAATAAGATTTGAGTTAAGGCAGTTAATCGAGTGTCCTCTTAAAGGTAATAAAATCATCCTTACCATTTAAAAATAATCAGTACATGCCTTAGAGTAAGCTTTCCGTACTTAGGCAGTAAGAGTGCAAGAAACGAAGAATCTAACCTATTTTTCTTGACTCCGTTTGTCACTGTAAAACTTAGTTGAAGAATGTTCACTGAGTACTCCTACACACTCAATAACACACATATTATTCTTACTCAATATGTGGAGAGAAAACATACCCTTCCAACTATGATTTTTAAATTGTTATATTCTTAAAATAATGCTTTTTCAGTCACCTTGGAAATACATGCAAATGCAAATCTAAATCCCATATGCAGTAATGATTTGGTTGAAACAAATACTATTCCCTCGAGCTATGTTGGTTTCAGGGCAAAAAAAAAAAAAAAAAGACTCTTCCAACAGGAAGATTGCAATAGCTCTGTTCCTAAGGGGGAAAAAAGCCATACAGATAAGATGTTCTTATTTATAACATGTAACAAGATATGTTGCTAGACACAAGCATCTTTCTGATGACTTATCCTGCTGCTCAGAGTACCAAAGAGTTTATTTTCATAATTACAACAGATGGAAAACAATAAAATTATACTCTAGGCTAATGTACTCTCACCCTTATTATCCTTTTTTTTTTTTGGCATGTGTGTCTTCCCTGAAGCTATTTTATAACAATATAAAACTTGCAGAAATATGGCACCGCAAAAGCCTGACCAGATTTCCTAATTATCTGTCATGACTCAAGAGTGCAATAAGAAATTAACTCTCCCGGGAGAGAAAAAACTTGACGGAACTTAAAATAATAGAAAGAATATCCTATGATATTCTCCTCAACAAGCTGAGAAAGAAATCTGTCCATTTTTAGTGGGTTTACCTAACTAGCTTTCCTTTTTTAAAAAATGTATGTATATAGTTTTATCTCAGCTACAAAGAGTGGTGTTAATAACACATGACATATTGTCATGCAAAGATTTACTCTTGTTTAATTAATTTTTATTTTTTCCATCCTCAATTCTATTCCATTCCTGTCTTCTCATCACAAGCTATTAATTCTGGACCAGAATGAATGAGATGTATGTAGTTGGAATACATATGTATAATGTATATATCATATATATTTAACACACCTACTTCCTTAATCTCCATATTTCCCAGCCTCCCATGCGCTTAGGTATGTCCATGTGAATGAATAATTTAATATTATTCATGAATGATATGGCTGGGAAATAGAAGCCAACGGAGTATAGACAGAAGTGATATATACCTGGACCAAGAAAACTTCCAGGTGCTATTTTTTGTTTGTCTGTTTTACTCTTTCATCATCTTTTGGATGTATAACAACACGTAGTGTCGCTATAGAAACCACCCATTGAAAATGTCAAAACCTTCATCAGCCTGAGTCCTTGAATGACTGTGTGGATACATTCTCTCAACACATACCAGTAACTACATGCTCACATGAATAAAGGACTTCTAGTTTATTAACTCACTGCAATGTTAAAGTTTATCTGTGCTCTACTTACCTCACCGTTTATTTCACTATAAGGAATCATGAAGTTTACAAGGTCTTTTCATTGCTGACTTTGTCAACTAATTTTTGTCTATTGTAATTCAGGTAGAATGCCTGGAAAGCCAGTCTACAGGAGAGACAACAGAAAGCCAACTGAAGATTTCTCTTAATCTGGCTCATTGTGACAGTGTTGGAAGCTGGACTTCATGAGAATCTTAGGCTCTTGATCATTCAACCATCAGTTGAACAGAGCACTGAGTCTGTGTTAGTAACTTAAGGCAAAATGCTTTAACCAAGATAAATTATATTAATGTGGTAACATCAATGGCCTTGAATACTCTGACAGTCAGTAGGTAAGAACATTTGACAAGAACCCATTCAAAAGAACAAGTGGTATCTTGTTTCTTGCAAAAAAAAAAAAATAAACAAAGATAAGCCCTTTGTCAAATTAAATTACAGAAATGTATGTTAGAGAACATGTCAGTACCCTACATCTACTTATTGGGCAGGAGGACCCCAGATAGTTAGGTGGCTTTGGAATTATTAGAAATACTGGACATGGTAATACTAGAGTCTTCCATGTGTTGAAGCTGATAGTATATTTATTTTTTATTTATTTTTAATGGATTTTAATTTTTAGGACAGTTTAAGGCTTACAGAAAAGTTGAGGATAAAGTACAGGAAATTTCCATAGACTCCATCTCCCTCATACCTTCACTATCCTCTGTTATTACCATCTTGCATTAGTGTGGCATATTTGTTACAACTGCTGAAACTTTATCAACATATTATTAACTAAAGTCTACTTTGGCATTGGGGTTTATTCTTTGTGTACTAGTACAGTTCTGTGGGTTTTGCCAAATGCAAAATTTCCTGTATCCACCATTACAGCATCATACAGAACAGGTTCATTGCCCTAAAAATAGTCTGTGCTCCAGATATTTCTCTCTTCTCCCCTGTAACCCTGGCAAACACAGATCTTTTTACCATGTGTACAGCTTTGTCTTTTCTGGAATGTTATGTAACTGGAATCATACAGCATCTAGCCTTTTTACACTGGCTTCTTTAACTTAGTAACATGCAATTAAGGTTTCTCTGTATCTTTTTGTGGTTTGATAGCTCATTTCTTCTTATTGCTGAATAATATTCCATTGTATGGATATACCAGAGTTTGTTTATCCATTCACCTATTGAAGGATATCTTGATTGCTTACAAATTTTGGCAATTATGATTAAAGCTGCTATAAACATTTATGTGCAGGCATTTCTATGGACGTAACATTTTCAATTTATTTGGGTAAGTACCTAAGAGCACAATTGCTAGGTTGTAAGCAGCTGTCAGGTTGTTTTTGAAAGTGGCTGCATTATTTGTCTTTCCCACTAGCTGTGAATGACAATTTCTGTTGCTCCACATCCTCACCAACATTTGATGCTGTCAGTGTTTTGATATTTTGAGATTCAAATAAGTGTAGTGGTGTCTCATTGTGGTTTTTATTTGCGATCTCTAACAAACATATAATGTTGAGCACATTTCCTTATGTGTATTTAACATGTGTCTATCTTCTTGGTGAGTTGTCTGTTTCGACTTTTTGTCCATGTCTAATTGGGATGTTTTCCTATTGTTCAGTTATAAGAGCTGGTTGTATGTTTTGGAAATAAGTCCTTTATCAGATACATGTTATCCAAATATTGTCAGTCTCTCCCAGTCTATGACTCACTTTTTCATTCTCTTATCAGTGCCTTTCAGAAACAGATGTTTTTAATTTTAGTAAAGTCCAACTTAATCATTTTCTCTTTCACAAAGCATGCTTTTGTTATTGCATCTAAAAAGTCATTTTCAAATTTGAGGTCCCCTACGTATTCTCCTACATTATCATTTGGTACTTATTTTTAGTCTTAAAATATTTTATAATCTTTATGACATTCGGGGAAGCATAATCATAAGTTTATGATTTATGTCACTGATTTTATGTAATTTTGATTGGTGCACCACATTTCTGATGTGTACAGTATTTCCCTACCCGGAGAAGTCATGATGTATTCCTTGGAAATGGATGCATGCTTTCTTATATGGATTAAATTTGTACATTTTTTCTGAGTTCTTCAGGGAATCTCCTGAGTGTGGAGCAGTACACTTTTATTCTTGGGAAGAGAGGGAAGTCTACCTGCTATGGAATCATGACATGGTCACATTATACCTCCAAAGTCATGCTCATCATATTATCTGGTTTACTGAAAGCTTCCCTTTATAACAGGGGAACATATACTACCTGATTCAATGAATGGGAAGTTCAGTGCATGAACTGCTGATGTCTTTCCCAAGGAATAGTTCAAAATCATCAATTAGCAAAAAATGGTGGACACAATAATTCTGAGAGAGGAAGGAGACCAAGCTAAATAAGCAATCAACCTTGCTAGTTGTAATGTGCATCTTTGAAGAGAAAGAGGCAGATACTAGCAATGGAAAAACTATTCCTGGGAAGTCTATGTTTATTTTTGAAAATGTGGCCGTATAATAAAGCACAGTAAGCTTAGTTTTCTTCAGTGTAACACTCTAAAAGCCTACTCATTCATTTTGAAGTTGCTATCATTGCTCAAGATATTCTTAGAACTATTATTTGGAATTAGGCTTTTTCAGGTGTTTACAAGAGGTACAAGAAAAATAATTCAACTTGCGTTTAAATCATGCCTCCAAATAACAATTATTGAAAGAAGAAATTAATAAACTTAATATTAAAACCTAAAATCAACAAGCTATTGACTTTTTCAGCAGTAAAATACAATAAAAAAATCAAGGTGTAATTATATAATAGAATTAATGATTAGAAAATTAAGGTACTGAAAAGATCTACAGGAAACTACATTAATATGTTTTTTGAATGCTTATTTACCATTAAATGAAGTAATAAGGCAGTTTCTTCCTTGTTTACCATCTCTTATACCGTATTTACTTTGTTTCTTTTTCCACCCAAACTGACACTTTTTCGCCTCACCAGTAACTACAGTATAGGCTAAAGTTCCAAAACCTTAGTCCTCCCTTAAATAATTACAAAGAATCTAACATTCTGTGAGGTTACTTACTTCCATTACAACACTAAACTACTCTCCTAATGGAGTCAGGGCTATTAGAACTCATTTCCTTGAAGTTTATTTCGCTTTTCTTCAGCCAACTCACTCTCCCTCCCTAATTTGTATTATAAACCCAGGGGAAGGGACTGTGCCTTACCCTACATCAACTAGGTGTTCAATGAACATTATTAATTATTATTATTAAAATTCATGATTGTGTCAAGCTTGGCCTAATCAATTTTAATTCAGCTTAATCTCTTTCAATTAAGTTTAATTTAGGAGGTGCTGCCCTGATATTTTTCTTTTACCTAGATTTCTAATTTACTTCTGCAATAGGCTACTCCTTTCATCTTATTTTTTTTCTTATCTCATAAATTTCTTCTACAGGCAAGGTGTTTTCTTTATGCCATTGCTAAGGTGCATTTTATCTGACAGGTGCTTTTAAAAGAGACTGCTTTCCTTGCCTATTCTAAAATATTATGCACAGTTTTTTGTATTAAAGCTAATTTTTCTCCCAGTGAATTGAAAGAAGCTGACCAAAACTCACCTATAGGCAGTTATACCCTCTAGGGGGAAGGGTATCTGATGAGCAGGGAGCCACCTAATCATTTCTGTGCTTTTGAGAAAGTGCTCCTATAGCTGTGTGGAAGATGGATTAAGCTGAGCAAGAGTGGAGACAACAAGATCTGTTTGGAGGCTGCTGAAATTATCCATGTTAGTGTAGCAAGAGACTGTCCAAAGCTCTGACAGTAACGATAGAGAGATTTCAGTATATACTTGGAGAAAGGTGACCAAAGAGAACTTGCTGATGACTGGGAGGTGGGAGAAGCAGATCTGGGCAGCAGGTGCTACAAGAGGAGAAGCAGGTTTGCATCAGGAGCAACGGCGTGTGTTCTGGGTACTGTCAATTTAATAAAGACTTGGAAGTGTCCAGGCCTAGTGGCTCATGCCTGTAATCCCAGCACTTTGGGAGGCCAAGGTGGGAGGCTCACTTGAGGCCAGGAGTTTGAGACCAGCCTGGCCAACATAACAAAACCCTGTCTCTACTAAAAATAAAAAAAATTGGCAGGGTGTGTTAGCCCATGCCTGTAATCCCAGCTAATCAGTAGGCTGAGGCAGAAGACTCACTTGAAGCTGGAAGGTGGAGGTGGCAGTGAGTCAAGACCCACCGTACTCTAGCCTGGAACAACAGAGTGAGACCCGGTTTCAAAGATGTGGAAGAGTTGAGGGTCACCGTCCTTAGGAAAGAATAGTACCCGCTAAAGAAGATGGCAGAGTAGAATACTAAAGATGGCCGAGGCTGGAAATATAGAAAATACCAATATTTATGGGGATAAATAAAGAAATACAAATCAAAGAAGAATACTGAGTCGCAGTAAACAGAAAAATAGGACAATGAGGAAAACATCTGGTTATGTAAGCCATCTGGTATTTTATCATCAGAGGCTCTGGAAAGGGAGAACTGCACATAAAAGATTCTGAGCGTCTAGGGTGTGCACTCCCTCTCTAGGCTGTGCTCAAGAGGGGGAACTCACTTAAAAAGGAACTATAAACAGGGCTGATGCATGGCTGGGGTCTGCAGCTAGCAGGTAGGTTCTGGTACCTCTCTGTGGCAGTTTGAGGTTAGCATCTGCTCTAATATGTCCGCCTGCGCAGTGTTAAACACTTATAATATCACTGGACTGTAACAGTAGCTATCTCTTTTTCTTTGCATCTGTACTCCCCACCTAGCTTGTTGCTCTATGAGGATAGTTTGCTGCCTTTTGTTTGTATATAAGACCATCTCTAAAATGTTCTGTGACAATGACATGATGCATCTGAATGAGGAATCATACACACACCTGGAGTTCAGTCCTAAGTATGACACTCATTAGCTTTCTGAACTCAAGTAAGTTATTCAAACTTTCTGAATTTCAATTATTTGCATAAAAATGGAAAAAAATTCCAAAAGTTTTATATATTAGATGAGATGCCACATATGACACTACTTATCATATAACCTATAAGATAGAGGTGCTCGGTAAATGTTGATTTTTTTTTCCCCTCTGGCAAGTCAGT